TTGGGGGAAGAATTGATTTTTGAATAGTGATATGATGAGAAATGTGTGGTTGAAAAAGAAGAAAAAAGTATTGATGTGATGAAAAATATTATTTTATTGAAGAATGTGTGGTTGAAAATGAGAATTGATTTACTGTAGAAAATGAGAATCTGTACCAAACAGGCTCTTAAGAGAAGAGTGAAAAAGGTGAAAACAATTGAGAGATAGTGAGATCGATTTAGGGTTTTTTACTTTGGAATTTTATTTTGTTTTTTTTTAATGGCCACATTTGAGGAGTGAGAATTAACATGAAGTTGTTTGCTTGTACTTTAATTATAATTTAAGCAATAAATCACATAGCAACCGTGTAATATTGAAGTCTCATCATGCACAATTTTGAATGAGGTCTCTATACAATTTAAAATTATGTAATTATAAAGTTTCTTTCAACACTTACTTCAACAGGTTTAGAATAAGATCATAAGAATAATTAATATAGTGGATGTCTTGTTCACAAATTTATTCATTTTCCACAAGCGTCGGCATGTTGACATATTGACACATGAACACATAATGTGTTAAAGAATAATCGAAGATTAAGAAAAGAAAGGTATTTCAAGAAGAGAAAAATTGAGAACAAAAGAATATATCAATTTAATTCATCTAATCAGTTTTTGAATTACAATGAATAAGTCCTTTATTTATAGAGCAAGAAATTGAAAGAAACTAAAATCAAACGAACTTCTACCAATCTAGAACACTATCAAAATAAACAAACTAATCTAATCTAATGAAAACACTTATAATTCACATTAATCTCTCTATTAAAATTCTATCTAACTTCATCTTTATCTTGTCCTGATCTCCATCGTTTCTTCTCGATTGAGAGAACTCAACTTTGATAAGGTAGACTGAAACTTCATACTCCAAGGAAGTCTATCTTTTGTCTTCATCAAGTGTCTGAACTAAACTTTTTCATAACATTTGGATGAACTTATACCAAGGAGAGTGGTTTTTCTTGTGAACCAAATATCGAAATTGATCATGTAACATCAACTGAATATGCAAATCATCTCTAATAATATGATCACGCCAAAGGGGACGATCTCTCATTCTAACCAAATAGCGACATAAAACTCCAAAAAGCAAGAACTCAAGCAAATCATTCATAATATTTCAGTTGGTTGTGCATAATAAAGAGAAGAAGGATTTAATATTGGAGACTGGCCTGTAAAAAATGATTATAATATCGAAGATTCGAATGAATTCCGATAAGGATGAACCGCATCCTTAGCGACCCCCACCTGCTCTGCCCTAAGCCTTGGTGAAGGAGGTAAATCGCAGGTTATGCTTCTAAGAGTACAGGGTGGAAGGCTGCTTATACACTTGCACTTACCCAAGGGCCAAATCCATATTTCAGGATTCGAACCCTTGACGCGGCAGCCTAAGCGAAGTTGGAGTTTTTCCACCTTCCCCTTTTACCACTTGGATTTTAAGAATAAAAGTAAAAGGTGGAAAAGTATTAAACGAATTGCTATACTCGTGTTCAACTATTAGAATAGAAAAGTCACCATTAAATCTTGTATATTTTGTAATTATATAATACTCAAATTTACTTTCTACTTTTCTCCCACTATCTCGAATCTAGCCAAGCCTAACCACCCAAAGGATACTTTTCGAATGATATACTTAGTAGAAGAAGACTGGCCTGCTAAATTTTTAAATATTTAAAACTTTTTACAATTATCAAATGAAAACCTAGATTTTTTTCATTGCACACACAATCATACATACAATTACTTTAAACCTCTTTTCTTTGGACATAAAGCACATTCTGTGAAGAATGTTGATTTTCTCCTCCTTCCTTAGTTTAGAAATTTGGTATTCTCTATGCATGTAGTGGTTGGTGACATTTACACATTGACAAAAGTTTATGTCACTTTCTCCATAATTTCAATTTATTTCAATGAACCTTTGGCCAGTTTGTAGACCTGATTTTTAATGATCATCATTGTGTCATGGACAAAACAGGTTCTAGCACAAATAACAAAAATATTATGGATACGAAGAACCAATGATTATCGAAATTTACAAACTTTCAAGTTTCTGTAATTTATAGCCAATTATTCCATAATTAATAGATTTTTGGGGACAAGTTGCCTCTCGAACCCTAGTGATTGGTTGTTGGGATAGAGAAAGAACAGGCTCCCACATCATATTATTTACTTTATAACTAATTTATTGTCCCATTTCTAATACACTAATTGCCCCAAATCGAATACAACTATATGCACTCGAATACGAATTAAATAGGATTTTGGGGATATGCTTTGAAACCTTGTCAATTGTTGTTGCTCTAACTAAACTTTATTCTCAATAATTTGAAAGCAGATTATCATTTTATTTGATTAATCTATTGGTTTAAGGGATATTTGCTATATTAATATTGGTCCCTAACATATGACCATTAATAATTGGCCGTCTATGACTACCAGGCGGGTACCACTCCCCGTCACATTAGGAGACGGGACAAGACCAAAAATTAAAATATTCTTGCTTCTCCCCGACTATACTTTTTTCTTTATTTATTTTTATCCTTGCGAATATGATTTAAATTTAAAAGTGTAAAAATAAAAGAAAAGAAAGTTTGAATGGGTTCGAGTGAGGATCATGTTCGGATGTTCCCATCGTACGGCAAGGCAATGCGACATATACAGCTCGTCTGGTAAATTGTATAGGACAATACTGACAATATTAGGAAAGAAAAAGACGTTCAAGTCATATCCAATATTGTGTACCATGTTTGCCACTCCCTTGTAGTGCAAATCCTTCAACTGCAACAATTCCAAAACACTTGTGTGGCAAGTCCGAGCAAGGCCAAAAAATCCACGAGAAAAAATAAAAAACAGTCTTGACAAGTAAAACATTTCATATCCCATTTACTTGCACAAGCGATAAAATCACGGACAAAATACAGAGTCTAAGGCTTACATTGGTCTTACACTTGCTTATTGCTTTCCATGGAAAGAAAAAAAAAAGTCTAGATCAGACTTACATTGGTGATGAGATTAATGGATTCCATCAGATTGAAATTTCCAATGATTTCTTCATCTTCTCAACTTCCAAATACACGGTTGAATAAGGCAAGAACTCGGAGAAGTAACTTTTGCTCAGATCATTTATTGCAACAGCCAGTTTAGGAATCTCCAGTGTTTCCTCGTGTGTCAAAGTCCTAATGAACCTTGCTGGATTCCCTGCCCAAAGCTCGCCACTTGGTATTCTCCTTCCTGGAGGAACCACAGATCCGGCTTCAAGTATAGAATGTGTTTCCACCAAAGAACCCTCCATAAGTATAGAGTGCTGACCAATAATGCATTCCGGCTCAATTGTGCAGGATCGCAAGAGACTGTATGCACCAACTGTTACAAATCTCTCAATTAATGTCTCCGCTGGCAGACCTGTCAGACCATATTGTATAAATTTCAGAGGTTGTGTTTAGTAATATGTTAGGATTGTAACGGTTGAGAAATGAAATGCGACATATGCAGCAGAATACAGCAGAAAATGAGATGAAACTTGGAATCTGCACTTCAAATTCATAAAAAATGCATGAGAAGATTCAGATCAAGGAAGCTGTGTCAATTCGCTATATAGGATTTCTGTATCATTAGCAACAAGTTGAACTCTCATATTTATTTCTCCAGTTATTCTTTTTGCATTGCAAAAAAAAAAATAACGGCGGCGGCGGCGATGATGATGATGATGATAATAATACCTAATCCACAATTAGAAGAGAAAAAGAAAAACTTTTAGATTCATAAAATAAAGAGTAATTGGTGAAAAACAACTCTAACCTTTACCTGTTTTGTGCAAGACAACTCTTTAACATTTCATTTTGGCGTAATCCTTCAGGAATGAAGTAAACCTCATGGTTCATCACATGCTTTTTAGATAAATAAACCTTGGTATGAAAACGGAACCTTTGAGAAGTCCTTCCAAGTTCCTTAAACCTTGCTCATCAGCCATATTGACAAACTAGCTATAAATAATGAATGATCTATATGAGGCATAGCAAATCATCTCTATCAATCACTCACGTATACATGGTACTTTGTTTTCCAATCCAGATGACGAATTATGTACCAGGAAAGATAATTCTTCTATTCTTTTTGTTTGGCATACTTATATACTTCAAATTCTTTCATGTACAAGCCACAGCAGTACGAAAAATTTATTATAACTGAAAAATCGTCAAAGGCACAGCAGAAGGGAAATAATTATTATTATTTATAGTTGAAACATGTTATCTAAAACAACATAGTTCAGTGGTTAGTGTTCTGATTCTTCAGCGGATTAGTTTTATGTCTCCACATGCCTAGAAAGGTGGTTATTATATGTATGATAAATACAACATTGAAACATGTTATCTAAAACAACATAGTTCAGTGGTTAGAGTTCTGATCCTTCAGTGGACTAGTTTTCTGTCTCCACATGCCTAGAAAGATGGTTATTGTATGATAAATACAACAAACCACTGCAGCATTGTACTCTAGACAAACGTAAAGTTCAGTTATGGAAGACAACTGAAGTACAATGGATGGGCAAATTTATTCATGGAAAAATCATATAAATGAAGGCCCAACCGACAAACCTGAAATCGACAAGATAAATGTATCAATTCTTGCTTTCTATGGAATTTAATTAAACTAGGTCAGATTGCTCAACAAAAGCCATCACTGGCCACAATCTTTTCCCCCAAAGTTGAATTACATGGTACCTACTGAAATGATACACCACAAAGCCTAAAGTGGAAAAATCAACAAATATATAATCCCCCTCAATGTATCAAGGAATAATGTTCCCCTTTTCAAATAAATATTTTTTTACACAAATTACCATCCCTTGAAGGGCATGAAGTCAGCAAAAGATTCTTGGCCTAGAACTGAGGCTTCAAAAGTTTTATCAAATACTCTGTGCCAATCCAAATAATTGCTACATTGGCAACAACACTAGAAAAAGATGCCACAACTGTAGGAAACATCCTTCCGGAGTGGACAGCCAGTGATCCAGATCACAAGTTTTCCCTCCACCAATGGGCAAAACACTTCGAGCCTTGTTAGAGGCAAGAAAATGATTACATATGAATACATTAGTTTTACCAGGTCATGGAGCAGTTCTATGTGAGATGATTTTTGTTCTCTAGATTGTCTCTATGAATTTCTTGGTAAAAAAATTCTTTTTTGTTCAAGATAGGTTTTTATGCTACTGCAATTGACACTGATAATTACATATCAACCTTTTTAAGTTGTAAACCAGTTCCGAAAAAATTAAAGAAAGTGCTATTTTAATTTTTCATTGTAAAATATCCGAATACATACTGTTCGTGCCTCTGTAGCACGGACACTTCGATATCGACACTTTTCAGACACTCTACCGTAATCATTTTTCTTTTTTATATTAGANCGTAATCATTTTTCTTTTTATATTAGAAATATTATATATTGTTAATTCAAAATTATTAGCAAGTAACAAATATGTACTCATATTTAAAAGATTTCAACAAGAAAAATTAATAACAAGTATAAAACTAAATTTATACTATATAAATGAAATTTTTTTAAGAATTTAATCAACGTGTCAATGACGTGTCGTGTCTGCAATTTTTTTAAAAAATCGTGTGTCAGCGTATCCAACATGTATCGTGTCGGACACACGTGTCCGTGTCGGTGCATCATAGGTTCATCCAACTAGAAGGAGGCCAAGTAGGTTGCTTCAAGTTGGGGGCGTACAGTAGGAAAGACAAAAATTCCCCTCAAATTTATACTAATTACAGGCATGACAGTGAGAATTACAATTCTGTGTCACCATACAAAGCGGAGGCCACTACTCCGATTCAATTCAATGGAGCTCATAACTGCATCAATCAAATTTTAATTCCCAACCCAAGTAATTCTTCTTTTCATTAATCTCTTTCTTACTGAAATTTATACATCCTGAGACACTCACGTTAATAATAGACCATTGTACAACCTTTGGAAGCTCAATGTGTTACACAAGATCATCATTGCGTAGGCTATTGTGCCTCCAGCAGGATACCAGAACAAGAAGTTTAGTTTATGAATAGCTTTCCCCAAGTTTTAGTTTCTTCTCCAACTTTAAAAGAAAATCTTTAAGGATATGGAACAAGGCTTCATCTACAAATGTTCATTTCACCTACATCCCAATTTCTCAGGAAACTCAAATACAGTAATTATTTAATAACTAATTAAAGACTGACATAAAGGGGGAAAAATCCTAGCTTGGCAGAAGGATCGATAAATTCAACAAATCTAAGGTACATGCTTATAAGCGCAGTGTTCACTTTGTTTATACTAACCTGTAGGAGAAGACCAGGCAGCGTGGACAACGCATCGTTCCTGCACATTGGAGCAGAACCCAACAGTAATCTTATTCAGATCACCACGCAATACGGCGCCGTTCCAGACAGATGCGCCGTCGTAGACCACCACCTGACCGGCTAACACCACATTGGGCGCCACGTAAGCATCGACAGCTACCTTGGGGGCCCACTGTCCAAGAGGAATTAGCTTCCTCTGACCCCGATAGTCCCATTTCACCCGATCCGGAGATTCCCTGATTACAGGTGCTAGTGGCGATGATTGTGGTGGCGCTTGGGCCGATTCTACTGAAAAATACCGGACGATTACAGGGGTGGAGAGGGTTCTCGGAAGCAGCCGGCGAGATGCGCGAGCTAGCGTCGCCATTTTGTGTACTGGATTGATACTTGAGAGGATTGTAGAGAGAGAGAGAGAGAGAGAGAGACGAAGCAGAGAAAGAGAGCATATGGGGTTGGGTCGGACTTGGAAGTTGGATCCGATTCTAATCAGATCAGAGCATGTTGGTAAATTGATAATAATAGCACTAGAAATGGATAATAACGTTAACATAATTTTGTATAGTTTCTACTCTTAACATCTTGTAAAAGTTTTCAAACCATCATTTTGTCGTCGAAATGAGTCTTGCTGCCTAGGCTTGAGATGACTCAATCCGTTATAACATTGTACCAACATAGGTATGACGTGGTTCGGATCGATTAAAGGATTGGTTCATCATAGCGTCCATTGTCGAACTTAATTGATAATTTTGTATTTTTTGAAAAATCAATTTTGACTATAAATACTTATTTCTTTTGCACATTTTTCACACAATCTTCTATATCTTACACAATATTCATATTTTTAACAATAACTTAATTTAAATGGCATTGAATTCTCCAAAAATGAAAAAAAAAATGAGGGGTTAGATCTTTTGGCACGGATTAAAATGTTGATGGGTTCGAGGCTAGTCCGATCCTCGGATTTGGAAGATGGTCTAGGCTTATTTGAAACCATATTTTTAAATGAGCTAGTTCAAATTCATAATGAGCCTAAATTTTGTTGACGCGACTTACTCAACAATTGATGATATACTTCTTGTAACTATTTACGAAGAATTAACATATATACATTTGCAAGTTGGATGTACCCATTTTGACACTCCTAAATTTCTCCCTCTCTATACATAATGGAATCTCGATTTCAAATGGTTGAAAAACTTACTTTTATCTCAACTTCTCTCGTGAAACCAAGAAAATGTCATATGCTACTATTGTATAAAAAATGACAATGAAAAAAAGACTTGAACCTATAGATGACAGTAACTAGGGGTGTAAACGGTCCGATTTTTGACAGATTTTCAAACCAAATCGTTTAAAACGGTTTGAGAAAACTCAAACCTAAACCAAACCGTTTTGACCGGTTTGAAAAAAACTCAAACCTAAACCTAACGGTTTGGTCCGGTTTTAAACCGCCGGTTTCGCGTATATTTTTTTCTGTCTAGTATCCACTTTTATGCCATTAATTCAATATATATTTATATCTTACTAGAAATAAATCTANAAAAAAATTCAAACATAAACCTAACGGTTTGGTTCGATTTTAAACCGTCGGTTTCGTCGTATATTTTTTTGCATGTCTTTTTTTATGTCATTAATTCATTGAATTCAATATAGATTTATATCTTACTAGCAATAAATCTAAAATTACTAAATATATCAGCTATAAATTTAAATACCAACTAAATTCAAGTGAAATCATAATAATAATTTTTTGTTCACTCTTTTTAGATTATGACGTTACGATAACGTTACAATACAAGTCTAATAAACTAAATATAAGTCCCAATACACATATAAACTAAATATTTATTTGAAAGCATATAGTTTCATAATACAGTTATTGATACATCAATAAGGTAACGCCTTAAATGATAAACTTTACGCCTACTGGATCAAAATTCAATACTTTAATATGCTAATTGAATAGAAATCATCCTTACTAATTCAAAATACTTAAAGAAACAGTTTAATAAAATATCTAAACATACAACAAAACACAGCAATTAAATTGATGCAAGTGTAATTGTCATTGGAGTCATTGTTGGTTTCTTTTAACTTATTAAACAACACATCCACATATCAAATTATACATGAACATTTTTAACTTCTATTGACATATTTTATCATGCATAATTCAGTTACAAAATAAGAGTACGTCCACACAAATAGAATAGAATCATGTACATGGTAGATAAATCATTTCCATCAAAGTGAATAAATTTATTTCACAATCATCCAATAGTTGAGAGAAATGCGAAACCCATATAATTTCAGATTTCTTACCTCAGTTTGTTCAAATAAATTATTGATCTAATAGCAAATATTATCATCGAAGATCCGGGATCTCTTTGTCTTCTATTTGGTGTGGTGCTGGTGGCTCAAGGCTGTGTCGAGTGTCGGCTGAAGTTCATTTGAATTCTGAACAGGAAAATGGCTTTTGATATATTAGGTTAGTCTTGAGATTATTAGATATAAATTATGATTATTGGGTAATAATAATATATATGTAGTAGAAAATTAGAAATTGATAAAAATACCCACACATGACAAAACTATAGAATTTTATGTATTTGGATTTTCAGAAATTTTTATTTTTTTATTTTTATATATTTTTTCGC